ATATTAAATAAATAAGTGATGCATTAAATATTAAATGTACGGTATTTACAAGTAACTTGAATTTAACATTTTATAATATTTATAATATTTTAGTAGGTATTGTATTAAAAAAAATACAATATATTAAATTACATTTTACAATGACAAGATACGTATTAAAGTAAATATATTTTTAAATTCAGCCCAATTTTTTTTCCGCGATAAATTTTATTTAAATGTAGGTATACAATTTTGAAAAGGGTTTTATAAAAAAATCGCTTATTTTTCTTCTTTTCTAAAGGCATGAAAACCTTTAAGTAACTATATAAATAAATACATAACCTTTAATAAATGACCTTAAAGTTAATATAAACTGCTTAAAAATCAAAATTGGAAATAACTTAATGTTTTGTTTAATATAAATTTAGCTGTAATAGTGATTACAAATTATTTTATGTAGGTTATACGGTTTCTTAAATTTCTAGCAATCCTAAATTTTTATATGTAAATTAAATGTATAATTAATGCTAATATATTTTTCAATATAAGTAAAAGTGATATAACTATAAGCGATGCGATGTAATTATACTATAAACTTTTGTGTCAGTTAGAAAATATTTAAAACTATCATTTTAATGTGATAAGGAAAATAAAAGAGGTTTTAATAATAATGTTTCTTAACAAAGTTGAACACGGACATGAAAAGTTGACATATATTACCTCATTTTTTTGTACAATATTAAAAATTATATATTTAAAAGGCGTGAGGAATGAGAGAATGAATGTTGATATGTGTGGATACGAATGATGGAATTGCAAAGTTTCGTCAATATTGGACTGATCACCCAAATATTTGATGATGCTTAAAATCCTGGTATTGAAACCATTATGAGCGAGAATTATGAAAGTTAGTAATGGAAATGGAGTATGAAAGTATATAAAAGTTACCGATACAGTCAAGTAGATAACAGCAGGTACTATAAAGATAAAGAAAGAAATAAAAATTTACGAAGAAAATCAAAATAAAATAAAAGATGACCTTGATAAATAAATCATGGAGAGACACGGGAACGTCCATCACTGGTGAAGCATATAGTCCTCGAGCAGGGTATGTTTCCATGATTGGATGATAAAATCGGAAGTAACGGGTACTAGGGAACAATACCTTCAGCACAAGTGAGATGTGAACGAGTTTACTCATATTAGTACTGTTGGGGACCAGAGAAGTCTTAAATTTGTTACCCTTAATAATGGTACATAGGGGTCACATCCTTCATTGGATCATAGTGTGAACTTAGTTTTCCTCCGTGACAATTGTTGGAGTCCTTTTAAAATGACTTAAACGTTGGCCTCAAGGTTGTGCGCACAACCCAAGGTACAGTTTTACCTTGATATAGTATGATAAAAAAAATTATGTACCAATAAAATGAAACGAATGTTATGAAAAAGTAATATAATACCCAAGTAAATGGGGGGCCCATATTTATAAAGTACCCGCGTGATAAATATCACGAAATAAAATATAAATGAAGTGAATTAATACTCCGATTCCCGGTATCTAATTAATAAATAAATATTAAGGAAAGAGAATTTAGAACAGCATTTTAATACTAAAAGAAATAAAGCTAGCAAAAGGTCAAAAATATAAGAAGGAAATAAAGTACGTACAACAATTATGAAAAAATAATAGGCCTGACAATCAAAAAGGAATGTAATGAGATGTCCTTATCTATGGAGATGTGCAAGTATGAAAATAATTAACATGTAGGGACATGAGAACAATTAAAATGAGGTCATAATGGAATCCCCGCCAAAGCAAAAAAAAAAACAACCAAAATAAAAAAAAATGATAAATACGTTTTCGCTTAGATATATTTTATATGAATTTGCAAAACTTTTTCATATTTTCAATAACTTTACCCTAAATTTTTCTTAGTTTTTTTTGGTTAATGTAAAATTTTTACAATTTTAAACGAAATTTTGTATATTAGTTACTAAAAAAAAAAAAGTCGAAAGTGTATCTACTCTATTATTTTAAGTTTCATAACAATAGTATTTTTTTATTATGGACAACGAAACATAAAATTATGTAATCTGCTTCAAAAAAATTGTCTCTTCTAATGTTAATAAATATTTTTAAACAAACTTTAGGTATTTAATAGTGTATATTTTAAATTTCTGTCTCAATTAAGATAAAAATATTCCATAAAAGTCATAAAATAAAAAAGTAGTAATGTGTTTTCGACTGTTATAAATAACTTAAATAATGAATACTTGATAATGTATGTAAACCTATTATCACAATGAAATGTTACTACCTAAACTGTGTAAATGATTATATTCACGATATCATTTTATTGTATTGTTGAAAGTAGGTACCATCATACGATGTAATCTCAAACGTTTCCATATAGGTACTTGTACTTTGGAATTTAAAACAAAGGTGTCACAAATCGCTTACGCGGCTGGGAGCACAACATGTATTTTGATCTGTCTGTTGTTATGTTAACGAAAATTATTAGGTACGTTGCTTTGCATTGACTTCTTTGTTCTGGATATCTAAATATGAAATGTAATCAATTATTTTCGGTATAATATTGATTGAACTTTCAAATCATAAACGTTTTATCTATTACAATTTATTATTTTCTGAGAAAATAGTAGAGTGATGCGAACTTATTTGTATGGATTATGAAAATAATTCCTTTATTTAATATGATTTTGAAACTCATTATACTATGTTTGCATATATTACTTTAAATTTTGTTGTGACCAAAATATTGTGAGCCTCAATCCCTGACTGACAATGATATATGTACCTAAATATTATACGAGACTATATTATGATATAAGTTTGTAATGCCTATAAAATAGTAAAAAAAAATATATATTATATATTTATTATATTGCCCAATTATGTCAAATATGTATGTTGTATTTCAGCAATTGCAGAGCACAAGTTCTATGTTTTTAATTCGTTACCAATTATGGAGAATGGTATCATCGGTCGAAATCTTTTAAAAAAAATATAGATCAGTTTCGCATTTTGACACGAATATTTTAATATTATATGACCATCTTGGTAGATCATAATAAAACCTATTTCAAACACTTGTAATAATTCCTTGGCAAGTTTTTTTTTCTTCTTTTATTTCAATACTTAAAGTTATGTGTTGAATGGCAAGGATTGTAAGTATAATTTATTGAGAGATTTGACTGATAAAAATAAATTCAGTGAGTGTTTTATACACATTGGTTAGAGTAAATTGACATATTAACTTATTTCAGTAATGAAAATATGTTGGAATGTTAATAGGTAAAGCACAAGATCTGGTAGATAATTAGCTATTTCAGTGATAGTCGGGTGCGCAAACGAGTATTATGGAAATGCTAAGAATTCAATGAGAACTTTTCGTAGACATCAGGTTTTTAGAAAGGATAAAAAGTACATATAATATGATGTCAAGTTTATTGCAAAATGCATTATTATTGTTGCTCACCTATATACCTACATGATTATGTTAACATGTTGTTGTAATGTTGGTTAGTACCAAAAAACGACAGGTTTAATGACGTACGAAATAAAATCGCATGCGTATCCTGGATTGACTCGATAATATTATGTATAACCTGACCTGATCATGATCACGAGATTATAATCTTTTTTTAATTAATTAATTAATTTTATATTTTGTTTAACTGCTTTATTTTACTCAATTGAGGAATTATATAAATTTAATGGTTAAGTAACATTGTATTTTATTTTTCAATATTAAATTTATTATTATGTAATAAGATTCAGGGTTCATATAATATTATAATTAAATATTACATGTAATCATAAATCATTTTTATTATATCTGTCAAGAAAATAACATGTAAAAAAAAAGTAAATAGAACACTTTTCTTTTTTTTCTTAAATATCGGGGGAGGTGTAGTGTATGTGTCTCCACCCTACTAGTAGTGTAAGAAATACATGTACTCTTAAGTTTATTGATCAGTATAATTAAAGAATTATTCTCAGCAACACGTCTTCTCTTTCATTAACACCTGCCGACATCACAGCACCATACGTTGAATAATATGTCACCGATGTAAAGGGCTGACTTTAACATCAATCAAAGATGATTCTGGGACACCAATTAATAGTCCCCCAACGAGAAAGTGCCCAGGCGTTAAGGGAGGTTATCAAGGGTAGAGTTTACTACGGTAAGTAGACGAGAGTTGACACAAGCTTTGACTTGGGTTAAAAGAGTAGATAACTCCTCGTAGGTCAGTAAGGTTTGTCCACTTACGCGTTTCAAGTATCATTTAACGCTCTTCACTCCTGATTCCCAAAGTCCCTCGAAGTGAGGCGCGCTAGGTGGTGTAAAGATCCAGTGAGTTTAGTCATTAGCTAGTAGTTCAGCAATTTCAGAAACAATTGCAGGTTTTGAATCTCTAAAGGCAAGATCTAGTTCACGGGCCGCACCCACAAAATTCGTACCATCATCACTCCAAATCTCCTTGCAATGACCACGACGAGTAGTGAAGCGTCGAAAAGCAGCTATGAACGCAGCTGAATTGAGATCAGTTACCAATTCTAGATAAATGGCTTTTGTGACGGTGCACACAAATAAGCAAACATAAACGTTACAGGTTTTTTACATCTACCACGGTACAATTTCATTGTAAAATGTCCGGCAAAATCTACTCCACTTGTCAAAAATGGACGACTTGGTTTAACACGAAATTTAGGGAGATTTGCCATAAATGATACAGAAGGATTAGCCCTTTTTTTAAAACATGGTATACATTTAGTGATTACAGTTTTAACAATATTTTGACTCTAATTATCCAAAATTTTTGTCTTACAAAGTTCAAAGTAAGTTGATGCCTTCCATGCAGAGTTTTCAAATGAGCGTTTAAAACAATAAGCTAAAAAAGGCCACAATCGTTACTCAAAATAACAGGATTTTTTATAGTATCTGAAATCTCTGCATTGGTAAGTCAACCATCCACATAAATAATGCTTTTATAATCTAGATATGGGTTAAGAACATGTAGTTTGCTGGATTGGTGAACTCGTTCACCATGTGATAATCGAGAAATTTCATAACTGACCGAAACTGATTAAAAATCTTAATGCATCTATTTAGACCATCGTCAAACTCATTTGGACTCAGATAAACAGGTTCATCAAACGATGTTCTATCTGTGTTAAGTTTACACAGTTTAATAAAACGTAAACAATAAGCAGTTACACGTATCAGTTCCGAAAGTGTCGAGTATCTTTTTAGGTAAGAAATAACAGCATCATTTTGAAAAACATTTATATTTGTCTGCACTTTAGTTTTAACTTTCATTTCTAAATCTGGTGCAGGTACAACGTTATTTAAATTAACAACAATATCGAGGTCTTCTAAAAATTGTGGGCCATTCCACCATAGTTCAGAGTGCTGCAAACCTGATGGGTATACTCCATGGAAAGCTAAATCGGCCGGATTATTCGCCAACCTACAAAATGCCATGGGTTAGTTACTATTTGTGAATGTCAAAATCTTTGAAGTGCGATTAGGAACAAATGTGGTCCATGTATTGGGCATCTTACATTTTTCTTTATAGGAGAGGGGGCAAATGAGCATGCGGCTCACCTGATGGTAAGTGACTACCGCCGCCCATGAACAACTGCAACACCAGTAGGCTCTTTTCTTGAAATCCGGAAAAATCGCAGATGGTAATCGATTCCACAAGGAAGTCGTACGAGGAAGAAAACATCTTCTAAATTGCACCGTGGTGGACCGCCAATCATCCAGATGGTGTGGATGGTATCGGGAGTTCTGCTGCAATGTGCGTTCGTGAAATTTGGCGGCTGGGATTAATCCGAATAATTCCTCAGAGCATACCTCGTGGTAAATGGGAAAAAAAATGCAAAGGCATGCAACATCTTTCGCAGTGCCAATGAATCATCTTGTTGCAACGGATATCCAATCAAAAGTTCTTCATTTAACGATTTTCCTCTTTCAGGTGTAGCACTTCCATCGAAGACAACTCGTAGCTTCGTGTTCAAGCTCGTCGGCCGAAGAACAGCGTAGTGAGGTAAGTAGTGAAGGTTTTGTGTTTTCTTTTCATTTTCAGATACCATTATCATATGAGATTCTGACTCGTACTGCTTCATAAATTTGTGATAGTCTTCCTTGAAGTCAGCGTTACCTGTGAAAGGTTCCTTCATGTACTGTAAATAACTAACAGCAAGAAGTCTAACAACACCAATATTTGTGGGAGGAGCATCCTTGAACGGTAAACACACAATGTAACGTCCGTCATCATTGCGCGCGTGTGTGGATTTAAAATACTCTTCAAATTGCGCTTCTAATTCAGTCATCGGCTTTTTATGAGGTAAATTCTCTTCAATTTCCCAGAATTGTCTGAGTAACTGATCTGCTTCGAATTTAGTCTGAGCAACTATCATATTGTGTTCCTGTGTTTCAGTATCAGTTTGTAAAGCCTTGTCGGAGATTAACCAACCCAGACGAGAGTTAAGTGCGATCAGAGAATTGTACTTGTGTATTCCTTGTAGTATGTGAGCATCCACAACGGCACCAAGTAGAACGTCAATAGATCCTGGCTTGTGAAAGTTTGGATCAGCTAAATCCAACTGCATTTACGAAGGCCAAGTATCTTGTGAGAATTCACGTGACATCAACAATAAAGTGAATTTCTTGAGTACATATGCATTTACTTTAAATGTGGAGGCTTCGCATTTTGTGGAATGTATTGTAAGTTTAACCATAGATTTTGTAGTTACCACTAATGAGTTTGATATACCAGAGATTCTGCCAATAACGGGAGTACGATCAAGATTCAATAACTGCGGTGCTGCTTCAGAGATGAAAGAGCCCTGTGAACCCTGATCAAAAAGAGCTCTTAGTGTATAGATACCATTGTTCCTGAAATCAATCTTTATTTCAGCTGTAGCTAAGATAACCATTTCACCATTTGTTTCAGCCTTCAAGTTTAGATAGATAGACAAGATACTCGATGTAGAGGTATTTTCCCTTGGTGAAACGGTTTCCTTTTGAGCTTTATCAGAAGTGTTACTCTTGGGAAAGTTGTAAAATGTAGTATCGTATGATGTCGACGTCCACATAGTTTGCAGTTTGTACTCTGTCTACAATTGAACACGGAGTGACTTTTCACCAGGCAATTGACACGTATGTTGATTTTCTTTATAAAATCTTGGCGTTCAGAAACGGTTAATGCTAAAAACTCTTTACAGTGACAAATGTAATGATTCTGTGGGCAGTAAGTACAAGTGCTTTTTTAATTGTAGTTGCTTTTGGAGTATGTTGAACAGATTTCGTTGTATCTTTTCTAAATGTTTCCCGAGTTTGTGAAAATTAACCACTTCAATTGCTCGGAATCGTTTTGCTAGGAAGCTGTTAAGATCGTCATATGTGGGAATATTTGTTGAGTTTTCTACCGACTGCTCTCAAAGCTTGTGAGATTTAATGTCTAACTTAGAGACTAGAATATGAATGACTATTGCATTCCATGAATCAATTTTCAAATTTTTTAGAGATGTGAGACATTGGCTAGTAGTGTCTAATAAATCTTTGATACCTTTTGATGATTCAGTTGTTTGTTTTTTCTGAGTTAAAAATCGACATATCTTTCATGTAGTTTTTTCCATGCATCATCATAGCTCGCTTCAGTTAAAGAATAATTTATGAGTTACTGTTCGGCTTCTCCGGTCAGACTAGATTTTAAATATTGATGTTTTTCGATTTTAGACAAGCGGTCATCACAATGTATCATGGAAATAATAAATCTCTGTAGCTCATCCACTGATTATAACCACCATAAAATTGTAGTATAGCTATTGTTGGTAGTTTTGGTCTAAGTTTAGGAAGTTCTGAAGTTGTGTCAGATTTTGTAGATTCATTAATTGGTGTAACATCATAAAACATATCCTTTAGCCAAGCCTTTAAATCTAAATAATGTTCCTCTGTTTGTTCAAAATTATCATCAATATTGAAATCATATTCGGTTTTCAATGTCTCACTGTCCAACGATACAGTAAACAAATCATAACTTTTTGTGTAACAAGCCCAATATTCAAGTAATGTGTCCATGCGCGTATCTATATAACCTCTTGTTTGTTTATACTTTCAACATTTCTTCGTAGTTGTAAGTAATTATCGATTTTAGTTGAATTTTGAATCATGATAGCTACATGTTGTTTTGCAAGTTGATCTGCCGTATTCAATAATATTCGAATGTAAATTGTATATTTTGATAAATACTATAAAGGAGACTGATACGCTTTCATACAATCTTGGGCCCAGATTGTAAAAAGATGAAAATGGTGTCAATTAATAGCTTATATATTATTTATTAGCTGAAAATTCTATACTAAACAGCTGATTTTTGAAGTGCGATTGCTATTTTGGAAGAATCGTGGGCCTAGTGTTTCACAACGACTAGTTGCTATGCCACAATTCACACAGCAATCCATTGAGTCACTATCTAATAGATAAAATCCAGGCCGTAGAATCCACAATACCGAGCCAAAGTCAAACGAATAAACAAGATTATCGGTGTTCGGTATGTTAGCAAGGGCCGTAAAAGTAATTAAGATCAGAAGTCCGTAGAAATAAAGCAGTGGTCGAGCAATATAAATCAATAAAACAACGGGAAACACTTAGAAGACACACGTACTAAACGATACAAGACGATTCATCGTAGATTGAGTTGAGCAGGAGCTGTCACTATCAGCACAGATTAAAAATACAGTTGACAAACACAAGTAATAAATCGAACTGTAAACGTGAATTGATTTTAAGATTTATGTTTACTATGTTGATATTTTATTTTTAAACTGTTGACACTATGTTATACGTAATAAAGTGTCATGTATCTATTTACTTTGATTGAACCACTCATGTGATGTGAGTTGTTTTTATGTTTAATTGTTAAAACTCACTCACATTAATCGTTTAAAGTAATCGATTTCCTATCTTATTCGTTACAAACTTATTTTCAAGATTTCTTGTCTTCCAGATTGTGAATAGAGCAAGTATTTTTATATTTTAAAATAGAAAAGTATAACGCTTTTTTTAAACCATATTTCAACTTATTACAATTGGGCCCAGAAATCCCAGTCTCCTTTTAGATAAATATCACTATTTCAACGCAGATACTAAATGTTCACTACTCAATGTTATGTTTGTGTGGTAAGTCCAAATCTACTAAGTCTATGTAAAAACGGACAAAATTCTTTCTTTCAAAAGTAATTTTAGCACACATACTCTACTAAGTCTTTTTTTACTCAAATTTGTTTTAGTATTTTTATTACGCGAAATCGTCTTTTTTTATTTTTGTACTTACTTTTTGAAATATCACAAGTCTTTGACACACCGTTATTGCACTATCTTCGACACTTGCACTTTACTTACAGTTTATCCGTCGAGAAGAAGGACCATTTGGTTAATGAAAGAAATATTTTATCACTAGGTTTTACTCAGACACTACTACACTGTGTTATAGAAAAACTCAAGGAGGCAAAGATTGTTTATTTATACATCATAATGAAAAAATGCAAGTGATATCGCGATTCACTCGACGACAGCGTCATGTAAGGAGAACAGAAATTACAAAATTTACTTAAAAAGTTTGGATTTAAGTATGTTAGCTAAACAGAGAGTGATTTCCGAAAGTAAAAATTCATTACAAAATACTGGAGATGTTAAATGTATATCTTCGCGCAGACCAAAAGAAATAAAAAGAAAATACAAGTTGGTGAATTTGACTTAGGAGTGATAAGGCGAAAAATAAACCAATTTTATACTATTGAAAATAAAATTCCAAGTATTTGAAAACTAAATGCTGAACTAAAAGAAGATAATATTTTACTTAGCGGCTTAACTTATTTGGGAGAACTTTTGCACAAAATGGGATATTCATTTAAAAGAATGTAATTCTAAGCGATCAATTTAAACAGAGAGAGCAAATATTGTTGAATGGCGAGTAAAAGAATAAAATAGAATACAACAGAATAATTTTTTATTCAATATAGATCACATGTGTAATAAAGTAATTTTTTACTTTATCACTTTTCGAAAAAAAAAACCTCTGTCCTGGGAACAACCAGCAAGAAACCCTAGCGGGACTTTTTTTTAAAGTATATTTTACATTATTGGTTGGTACAAAATTATTCAGAAACATCATTAGGGTTATTATTAACCATATATTCATGTATACTATAATAACCCTTTTTATACAGTTTCAACTTAACAAAACATTTAAACTTGGTAATAGAGAGAGCTTGTACACTTTCCGGGACCCTGTTATAATAGCGTATACATTGCCCCAAGAATGAATTACTGACTCTGTAGAGTCGAGAAACTGGTATCACTACCTTGTGTTTGTTCCTAGTGTTTACAGAATGTATATCACTTGTTTTACTAAAACTACCTTTGTTTTTGTGAACATACACTAAATATTCGTAAATATACTGAGAGGCCAAAGTTAATATATTAATTTTTTTAAATTTTTCTCTAAGAGACTCTCTCGGTTTTAGGTTGTAAATAGCTCGAATGACCCTCTTCTGTAAAACAAAAATAGTTTCTGAATCAGCCGCATTTCCCCAAAGCAAAATCCCATAAGACATTATGCTATGGAAATAACTGAAATTAACTAATCTAGCTGTCTCGACACTAGTGAGACCTCTAATTTTTTTACAGCATAAGCTGCAGACCTTAGTCTGCTTGCTAGTTTGGATATATGGGGGCCCCACTGAAGCTTTGGGTCGAGAGTGATGCCAAGTAAAACAGTGGATTCAACAGGGCTCAGTTCTTCCCCATTTAAAACACATTGGTACTTAGATTTTTAACATTCGTTGTTGTAAATTTAATACATTTGAGTTTTTAGTTATATTTTCGTTTAAAATGTAGATTATTAACGTTAAACCAATGCACTAATTTTGATATAGCATTATTCACTTCGTCACATTTAAATAATTGACGTTTAAGTTTAAAAATCAAGGAAGTACCATCAGCAAAAAATACTATATCATGATTATCCTCTACAAGAGAAGATAAGTCTTTAATATACACTAGAAATAGGAATGGGCCGAGAATCGAGCCCTGAGGGACACCCATTAGTACAGGTGAGCCGGAAGAACTTTTATCATTGATAATAACTTTCTGCATTCTATTACTTAAATATGAAATAATAAGTTTAAGCGCTGTAATCTTGACACCATAGTACTGTAGCTTCCTTATTAATGTCTCAAATGTCTCTGGCCTTGGAAAGGTCACAAGATATACCCAAAGCATCCTCTGAATTATCCCACGCACAAAAAATATGTTTAATAAGCTCAACTCCAGCGTCAGTTGTCGAGTGACCCCTTGTAAAACCGAATTGATTTCTATGTAGCAATTTATTAATATTAAAGAAACTTAAAATCTGATCTAAAATTATTTTTTCAAAAATTTTACTAAATGTTGGTAGTACAGAAATTGTTCTAAAATCTGCGGGATCTAATATTCTACCAGATTTAAATAAAGGTATGACTTTACTATGTTTCATTAAATCAGGAAACACACCAGATTTGACGCTTATATTAAATATAGTGGCTAGATAAGGTGCTAATATATCTAT